TTCTTTACAGGGGAGAGTGTATCGGGGTTAGACAAACCCTGGTAACAGGGGTGTGTGTCACACGAGATGTGCATGGTGTGACTGCACCCAATTAAGAATACGGTATGTGGCTAGGTAGTCAGTAGTTGTGCATGTATTTAGATTTTGCTATATATATTTAGGAAAATCTATACATTCAAAATTAGGCGGTTTAGCCGCAGATAAAAATAAATAGAAACTAGTTTTGAATTTTACACCGAAGATTTTTATAGCCTTGGTTAAGGTATTTGCTACTCTTGGAATTAACGGATTGCGATCCGCTACACTCGTATTGGTTCTTGTAAAGAACGAAAGGTCGGTGACCTCAAGTACGCTTCCTCAAGCGCTAAGCTACGGCAGCCCCGCTGCACTTTCTGTCTTATCGAGGAACAGTGACTCGCTGCCGCTCCTGCTTCCAAGCTGCGCTGCCGCACTAAATAATATAGTAGCTAATCAACTAAGATATTCCTATCGTCCTTCGTCGAAACTATCACAGGTTCTGCCCGACGCAAAATTCGCTTCTGCTTCCTAGCAGAGATGCGTTTATGAATTACGTAGGCTTTGCATAGAGAAAATGAATGGCACTTTAAGTTTCAGTAGATATTTATTTATGACGCTCAGGGCACGCAATACTTGGAATGAGATCGGATTGGTATTCTAAGCCTATGAAGAGACAAGGCCTCACAATTTCAAACACTAACTCTCACACAAACACGAACCTTCACAGGAGGCTTGAGCAGATTTCAGACATTCTTACGTCGCAAGGCGCACGAATATCATGTCCGTATTTGTTGTCCTGAATGCATTTGTGGAGTGCTGTGTTTTACAAAAGTCGTGTTCTGTAAATGCCTCCTAAATTGGTCAGGACTTTCCGCGGCTCCGCTCGGCTTGGGTCGATGATATTCACGACCAACATCCCTGGACTGTGTGCCAAACTCTTTTTAGGGAGTCGCTTTCTTTCAAGAACTGGGTCGAATTGAAGCTTCGTTTTTCAGTAGACACCCCTCAGGATAAGATTCAAGCATCATTTCTTGTATAACTAGATATTCGCTTACGTACGAAACGGAAGCAAAAAATAAGAGATAAAGAGAGGCAAAATATATCATGAGCTACAAAAATCGGCGAGGAGAAGGCTTTGGTGGGCGCAGCCGTGGCAATCGAGGTGGACGGGGAGGATACGGTGGTGGACGAGGTGGATTTGGTAGTGGGTCATCGGTGGGCAATGAGGTATGCCGGCGTTTCATGGACGGTGGCAAGTGTGAATTTGAGCAGACGTCAGGAGGTCGACCATGCCGCTATCCACACTTTGTCAAGACCATCGGTGAAACGCGTGGTCACAGTGGATCCATCAAGGATGTGGTTATGTGGACAGAGCGGCAGCAACTATTTACTTGTGCAGCGGACGCCTGTATTAAGCTTTGGGATTGCGCGACCTGGCAGGAAATCACCACTATAAGCGTGCAGGACGTGTTGCCGCCGTCGGCCAAAGCTAGCAACAACAATGGAGGCAGGAAAGATAACAGAGACAAATCACCACATATGGAAGGAGTTACATCACTCGTTCTTTGTGGCCCTTTTCTCTTTGCGGGCTTCGAAGGCCGCTTTCCGTTTAACCCCAAGGTGTCGGTAGGCATGATGCGAGGATGGAACCTTGAAAATCCGCAAATTCCACCCTTCGAGTTCGCAGCATTGGATGGTACACCTTTTGCACATACTATGAATGTACAGGCGGTGGCAATAGCGACTGACCCGATGGGCAATGCCACGCTTTTTAGTGGCAGTGCCGACGGTTCAATCCGATACTGGCAATTGGATACAGCCACGAATCAATTTAAGTGTCTTGGTGTCATGGATCGACATGTGCGTGGAGTGACGCGACTGAAGACATTTGCAGTTGGGGGCGCTTCCATTTTGGCCTCAGCGAGTGTAGACTCAACAATTCGACTTTGGGACTTGGCGACATATCAATGCGTGAAGGTCCTGTCTGCCGAGGAAAATGGTCACATAGATGCTGTGATGGACCTCGAGTTTTGGGTGAATGGTAACGAGACGTTTCTGATTAGTGGTGGATTAGATTGTGAGGTTATCGTCTGGAGTCTTACTCCACCGTTTCAGCAGCTTTTCAAGGAGACGCAGGACTCGCAGGTCACTGCGCTTTGCGGTACGCAAGATGCTGCTCAAGCACCGATCCTTCTAATTGGCATGGTGGTATGTCACTGCTTTATGTCACTTTGCATGTGAAAGTTGTAAACTCATTGTGCTATATTGTGCTTGCAGGATGGCACTATTGCAGTCAAAGAGTTGCCTTCGTTTGCGTACAAAACGACTCTTGGCGCTAGTTTGAATCGTGGCCACCAAGATGCGGTACGACGCATAACTACTGGTCCAAGCAATACGTTTTTTTCAGCTGGCAACGATCGGAAAATGATTGCTTGGCAGATCACAGGTGACGCTGCTGCTATTCAGTATAAGTGAACGATCGAATGGTGATTTACCAGACAATGCCATCGCTGTCGGGCATATTCAGACTCGAGGCCCAAGAGGAATAACATAGACCATTGGTGTCTCGCTCGACTGATCAGGCGCGTCATATGTTCTTTAGCCAGTAAGATTAAATATTTGCTTTATTTGAGCAACACTTACAGCAATAAATATCGTGAATAGCTTGCTCAGTCGCGACGCTATGCGAACAGTAAATCTGTTATCTTTAGTAGGTAAATATTCTAGCAAATAACCGTTCATTGTGTAAAAATAGCAGCTACAGCCTGCGTTTGATGGCGCAGATGCAAGCTGAATATATATTTACGAAATGTCGACGCCAACGATCCAACAGGCGAGCATATCTTTTCATTCCGTGGTCGGTCAAGGCAAAAAACTTTGTGATGTAAGCGGAATATTAGCAACGCTTTCGGTACTCCTTGTAAGGGGCTGAACAGTAGTCTGACAAGATACAGCACTAATACTGTCACCTTCAATGCCTAACTCCTTGTTTACACGCTGGAGCCAGGTAGCCGCTTTTTGGTACAGATTGTTGAGTGCGTAGGCCTCTTCAAAACATGTTGCAGCCAGCTTTAGCTGTTTCTTACTGTAATAACACAGACCCATGTTATGACTCGTGACGTGGTGCTTGCCCATTTCACGTGCAGACAGTGAATAGTACGCCAACGCACTGTCATACTCGTGCAATCCGTAAAAGAGACGGCCAATTTCAAAGGCAATATCTTTTTCTTTGTCAAGAGCATAGTAATTCTTCCAGACAAGTGGAATGCCGTACATCACGTCTTGCTTAAGTTTTGCTGAAGCAGTCGGTGACTGATCCAAAAGAATATCTCGGAACTTGTAAAAAACGTCAGGATCCCACCCGCTCAGTTTCATCAAGGCAAGAATCGCCTTGAGCGACGGTGCTTTGGCATCTTCTTTCGTAGTTTTCTGCATCACAAAGAAGTCATTGGGTCCAAAAGACACAATCTCATTTGCAAACGCTGCCGAGAGGTACGGAAAATGAAGGCTGCGCTTCGAAAAGGACTTGTCTAGTCCGTCTGCATATAACTTAATCATAACAGAGTCATTTGCTTCATTTTCACCCAATGCATTTGCTGGAAGCACAAAGGCGGACACTTTTAAACTAGCTTCTTCCTCAGGACTATGCAATGCGAATCCACCACGACTTGCAAAATACACACCAATAGCATGGTAATTGACCATAACTGAAAAGCTGCCATGCACGGCGATATGAGGGTCGCTGATGCCGCTAAAATGGTCAGGATTGCTGTGCCCCTTATCACCAGAAAGCACAACAAGTCCATTCTTCGACAGAGCTGCTAGACGCTCGATTGCTGACAAAGCTCCAATGGGGACCAATAGTGTAGCACCTATTGATGCTGGATCAAAGTACTCGTGGTACCATTTCAAAATGTTGTTGCAGTGTGGTCTTGTCTCACCATAATACACTTCGTCGATCTGTTCGTACTTGAAGTGGTTATCTAAGCGTTTAATGATTTCAGGGTCAAGTGGATCAGGTTCCTCTGCGCGCTTCGATCCAACACTAATCAGTCCTTCCTTCAGAACCCCTCTATCCACTTGAAAGAGGTCGTGGTATAGCGTATCAAAGAGGTAGTTTGCAATCAAGCACAACGGATTACTTAGCTCAGCGGGACCAATGACTTGGCCAGACGAGTGCAATCGCAACTCGGTGTCTGTGGTGGCGTCAAAAATTGCAAAGTCCACAATTCCACGTTTCATAAATGGCACAAGAGCAGGATGAGACTTCCAAAAGATAAAATTTTGTTCTGTGAAGTCCGTCATAATGTAGCGTATCTTATCCAATGGAAAGTCAAGTACGCTCTGTTCAAAGTCATCAATAGTGTAAGACTAATTGCGAGTGTTCCATGGTGATACAGGTTTTCAATTGCATAAACTCACCTCCAATTGTGTAAGTGCTCTTAAAAAATAAAAACTGAATTTACCAGAACCAGCACCAAGTTCAACGATGTAAAACGGCTCCATGGTACTCACTGGTGATGCCGATCCAGGCTTCAGAGCGTCTCGTATGTATGCACTCAAGACATTGATATATCGCTTAGCGATAAAAGTATTAGACGTGATGAAGTGCGGTACAATGCCTTGGGCCCAAGACTCCACGCCCTGGCGGTCGTAAAAGGACATCATTAGCTTCCAAAGGTGGCAGCGAGCAAAGGGTGTGAAGTCCTCAAGCTGGCAACGCTTAACTAATTGGGTTTCTAGCTCACGCACTTCGTCCGATTTGATTGAAGACGCAGACCTAGCGGGCGTCTCGAATAGCTCCCCGTCGCTGCTGTCGTTAGGTATCGGTACAGGCGTTGGCGATTTGGTGACTAGTACATGTATCCCATCGTCCGGGACGGTGTGTGTACTTGGTCGCACAGCCTCGGGGTTGACGTCGAGGGGAAGAGGCATTGAAAGCAGAAGTGCTAATGGCCGCAAGTTACGAAATGCCCTTGAGTGCTACTCAACGGGTCGTCCGTTTCTAATGACAACGGAAGTATGTACAGACTGTCAACGTTTTTACTTTAAGAACAATCAGGTTTTCACGTATTATATCGATACTCACAAAAGTGCAAGAATTGTGATCTCTTAAATGATGCCCAATAGGAGATGTAGCCCATGATTTAAAAAAGCTATTGACGCTTAAGGCGTGCCATGACCTTTTACCTCTTTTGGAGACGAAGCAGATTCCCTATAGATCAGCTACTCTTCAACCGAGACCAGCGACATGGTTTCAATCTGCTGATAGTGTCTCAAAGCAAAATGACAATCCGTTTAAATCGACTACAACGGCAAGGGGCTGCCTTGCAACTGACACAAAGTAAGCTTTGACTCTACAAATCTGCGATACTAGGCGCACAGAGATCGGCTATGTACACTACCAGCTAGCCGCTCAGGTAACGAGGTACTAGTCCTTAGCGTGACATTTGATTAAGAAGTAGCTTGAATTAATACTAGACGAATATTATTAAGTTTCTACAAAACTAAAATCTTTGAAATGCGTAGCATGAGCTAGAGCCCACAAATTGTTTCTTTACAGAGTTCCATCACCCTCAGCCATATCAGTGGTACTTAACTTTGGTATACCTGAGCTTCGCTCTATGTTCGAGGCCTACCGTGTCCGCGTACACGGTGCAGCTCTGTCGTTGACGTCCTACGAGCCATACTCGGGTAAGAACGGTCACAGCGAGTCTCCGAGTCTCAATAAGATATTATTATCCCCCAGCAAAATTGTTGAGGCTGAGGCGCTATATATGCTCCTTCCCACCTCTGCATGAGTCGAAACCTCCGTGTCCGTTCTTTGCGATGGGGTGTTACACCGCGGAGCCAACAATGACTTCCAATTTGTTACTGATAATCTATACCCGGCTCAACAAGCCGAATTTGCTCGTATGCAAGCTTACGTCATGATCATTAATTCGGTTTATCGGAAGTCTTAGGATCCACCGAGACAGAGGTTGTACACGTGTATATGTGTGGGCGTTCCGCTCAAATTGGAGTGGGTAGGTAAATGAGCACTCAAACTGCTCCACGATAGCAATTTTTAGCTCATAGATTTTTACTCCTGGAAATCCCGCGTGGCCAAAAAATATCAGCGGTTAAAAACGGCCTCACCCCCAAATGGTGTACCCTAAATACGACCAGATCATATTCTCTCTTTGAAATTGACTCTTTGGTTCTTCCCTATCGCTTAAATACTGGCGAGACTCAAACACAATAAGAGTTTGAAGACCATTTGAATTAGCTTAAAAAAGAGTACAGTTATTCTTGGCATCGGCTAGGGCATCTCAGACGACAGTCATTAGCCGATTTGGCTTCGTAAGACCCACCCATGTGGCTTTTTACAGCCTTAAAGGCCGCCTCCTCTGCCACACACCACCATGTAGACATCCTGTTTCCGATTGGTGAGAGATGCTTTATATTGGCACATTAGCATATTACTCATGCGAGTAGCTGGTCAGACCAAGCGACTTTCTTGAGTCCTTTTGGCGAAGAGGCATTCACCAATCTGCAATATCGGTTATATCTGCGGGAGCAATCCGTTTCACCACGAATATACCTAGATTAAACAGTCGCGGGTGCTAAATACGCACTTGTTGATATTGATGAATAGCTAATTTTAGTGCATACACTCGGGCTGTGCTCGTCTATAGTTTACGTACCACTGGTCAAATAGCTGGAGAAAATACCAAGACTTTATTTTCAATCCCCACCGGGTGAAATTGGCGTGTCGTCTCTCTCGTCTTTTAACGTTACACGCCAATTTAGCGAAGTAGACTTTCGCTTGGAGCTCCAAAAGTTCTCAAAGAGAGATCATTCTTTTTACTTCACCAGATGCTGGTCAAAGACCTAGCGGACCCGCCAGACCTTCGTCCGTTCGACATGAAACTTGGCCGTCCATTGCTCAGTAAGCGAAACTGGCAAATGATGACGTTGATGTCGCTAAAATTCGCGAACGTTCTTGTTATCTCGGCGCGCTGTCTCTCTTCAAGAGTGTCGGCGCGCAATCGATATGACCTTACAGATGTGCGTTCGGAGGTACACAATCTCGAAAATTACTTAAGGCTCCCTAGCGGTCCAAAACAGATATTGGATTTATTTGAGATTTTGCCTTGACTTTAACAGAGCGTTTCCATGCAAATAGCAACATTGAAATCTGGGTATGAGATTAGCAAGCCCACGTAGAATCTTGGATGTTCTTGCGCGATCATTTGAATTGAGAGGGTGTCACAATCTATACCTAGCTACGACCGTAACTGGTCAGATATAATAAGATCACAACCTAATCTTGTAGAGAGCAGACAGAGTGCTTAATAGACTCTTCTCACCAGCCACAAATGCATGTGTATTTCGTCTGTCTCGGACGTCTTATATATATTCTGCTCTAAATTGTGACGTGTACTCGGCACATAACTTTCAGCCCGCATAGGTGATATTCTTGATATTGCTGAAAAATGTAGTTGGACTGTTATCGGCATGTCAAATTGTATTGACGATCCCTAATCAACATCTGGACAACTTCGTGGTGGAACCAAGAGAATTTGGATGTGAGTCAGACCATTAATAAGTAATTAAGAATTTCGAGATGTGAGCTGCGTTTTCATCCTAAACACAGCAAGTGAGAGCAGAATGTCTCAACCCTGCTATAGCTCCACGCAAGTATTTTCAAAATATCCATCACCAGGCGAACCACAAATATTGATTGATCATGTATTTTTGGATGCTTAGCGATGGACATGTCCAATCTTGTGCCCGGCACCTTACCAAAATTTTGCTGTAACTCACGGTCCTCGATCTCAGACAATAGCCACCAGTAAGCTATGTTGGTGACAGAGTTTGTTGGAGAAATGCGTGACTATATCTTTGCCGGTAACGGGTCATTGACAGCAGCAAGACGAGCCATCATACTCATACGGCATACAAAGACCATAATGCCGGTATATGTGAATGTGTCTTTCTCAAATTCCGTAAATAGAGATCCTGCTCATGAACGGCCATCATTCTGTCGAAACAGATAACATTAGCATGGTTGCCGATGCTGCGGCTTGCGTTATTCTCGTTATTACGTCTCGAACGTGCGCACATAAGCGCTTACCCATTTCAAGTGTTGCTTACGAATACATAGCGTTCGGGGAGCCGTATGTGATCTTTTACCTTGGTGGTCTATCCTCCTTTAACGAGATAAGTACTGCAGTCTTGTGTACGTACAGTTACTTTCACGTAGAAATGTGCGAAAAATCAATAGCTTAGAGCAGTTAGAAAATCTACATTGCACATATGTGCAATGGTAAATGTTCAAAGCTACCAAAGCATTGGTACCAACGACGATGATGAAAATCCGTTAGCAGAGGGTTGTGACACACTTGGGCAGTTAATTGCACCTCAAGTAATCGAGACATTTTTTAAGTCAATTTGTATCGGAGTGAATACTGTACAATTGCGTACATAGTATCGTCAATGCCTTTGCTACTGTTTACTGTTTTCAGCAGGCGCGCGTTGAATGTGATTGCACGACTCCCCCGGTACCTTTAAGGCATACAACGTTCGAAGTCAATGTTAGCATCAACAACTCTATTCTGGAAGCCCCACTTCTCGTAAGGAGAATTATTTGTATAATAGAAGGGTCCCAATCAATTCGATATACACAAGTGTGATAGAGCACATTTCTTCTACTTTGTGCCCAAAGCGGTCACCCGAGACTCAATGATTTTCGTAGAAAAAACTTTGTTGGACGACCTTGTGTGGGAGCCTGTCCTTGCGTACCTATCAACGAAGAGCGAAATGAGCACGTATGTTCAGATTTTCATGTCGCCACAGATGAAAAATCTGCGAGTATTACGAAGCTGCTCGGTAACAAAAAGACCGTTCTCATCTCGCCTAACATTCTAATGTGATGCTTCCGTTTAGCTTTTATTTTAGGTATATCAACCGGTTTATCCGACGAGGAAGTGGTATAAACTTTTTTTGCGACATTCATTTCTTCCTTAAACGAGGTGAGATGGATTTAAAGGTCGTCGCTGTGAGCTGCAACCTTGTGATTAACCTCTGAAATATGAAAATTCTCCCGTCTACAGGAGAACGTCTGTCTCCATTGTGGTAATGAGAGCTCGAAGCTTCTGGGGATAGCTCTCTGGGTTTCGCTTCATTGACGGGTGAAAATGAACTTGAGTTGCGCCTTACAAACCAAGTCATGTTTGTCTTTCACAGATTCATTTTTGAAAGTCCTCTTTTACACAAAAAAGCGCCTTGAAGTCCAATACGCGCGCGGCCATCTGCTGAAGGCAGCTAGCGCAACTCTATGATTCTCCGTCGGCGCGTGACTTCTTACCTTGAAGACAGCTAGCGCAACGCTCCATTGCTTCTTCTGTAGAATGATTAAGTTTATGGTCAGCCCAACTTCGCACACCCAAGAAAGATATTATCATTTTTGCAAAGGACTGGACACTTTACATAAGCAGTCTCAGAGTGATTCCTTGTTGTGCCTATCACTTGGGGATCCTGCAGCTCGTGAACCCCTCCAGGCGAGCGATTCTTTCCAAGTCACCATCTAATTCTTTCCTTCAATAATAACCATGAGTTTACAAATTGTGCCGAAGGCAGGTGCTTCACTATCTTATCTCCACCCTTACATATAATCCGTCTTCCGCGCCTTATTTGTGGGACTAACTACAAGTGCTTCGAAGTGCAACGGGCTCAGCGCACCTTACACAGAGAAGCTTTGACGCAAAGCGACCGCGTTAACAACGCTTAGAAGATAGGCGCGTACGCTCCACCCAGAAAAATATCTCAGATACTGCGAGCTTCTTTGAGCTTATTTTTTTGAGTGTGACACAAAGTGCTTTGTGCTTTAACGGAGTCTTATTCCATTCTACCTGAAATATATCAATTTAACCATACACAGTAGTAATACTGTCAGCTATCGCTTGTGATTGCGAAGCTCGGCTGTTTTCCTCTCCTGCGACTGCTTTGCGCAGCATGATAATATGCTTATGCCAGCACTGGTAATGCTCACAATAACAACCCTTTTTTCCGGAATGCGCGCCCAGTCGCAACAAGCAATCAATTTGTAATCGAGTTAAGGTTCAAGGGGGACTTGGCTGGAAAAAAGAAGGCGGTGAGCAGGCCGTGCTAATCCTCAGCAAAATTATCGCACTTGAGTGGCTATTGTATGCTCTCATCAATTCGTATGTGTGTCGTGTCGGTAATTAAGATCGGCATTGATAGCTTGGACGTAAGGCAGAGCGCCATACCGCTAGCAGCAAAACGACTACAAGACTGTGTTAGCGAGTACCTGGAGTCAGCTCAACCGGTATTGGTTATTTTATTAAATTGGTGAGCATCGGGTTTGTAGTAACTGTGCAGAATATGACAGCAGGATGCCACATTCACTGCTGATCCAGTATGCAATACGTATAGCTTTACTATCAAACATAGTTTGCTGCGTTTTTTCAGCTCCGATATTAAAAGAAAAAGGAGACCCACTCGATAACAATCTGACGAATGAAGTATCACCTGTCTATTAAAAGCGGTTATTTGATTCTCCAGCGTGCTTGCTCACTCGAACATTCTGAAGTACAAGTAATACAAACGAACAACTACAGGTCAAAAGAAATCTCATGAACCTTTGATTGCCAGCGCAGATTTTCTTTAGGGCTTTCAACTGAGCAAAGAATGACACTACGCGAGTTTGGTGTAAAGCTTGCGTCTACGATAGAAAGCGGCTGTAAGCACGGCGTTAGTAGCACACATACTCGGACCATCCAATCCCTACTTAGAAAATGCAATGCGATCAGTCTAAATACTATCTCCAAATGTGCTACCAGCATATGCGGAATCACGTTATGGGCTATCATTTTTTGCCTATAGAAGTAACCGCTTAGCGACAAGTAGTAGAGACGTTTTCTTGACAGCACTTGGCACGCATCTAAGACCGCAAGATTTGTTCCACAAAGCATTCAGGCCATTTGATGCCGTTTTTTCATCCGTTGTAGTATCCCGAGGGTAAGGTCGCTCAAGTCGTCGAAACGATGCTTAAAAGAAAAATTTAGAAGACACTTCGCTATCCGTATCTGATATCCGCTTACGAACTTATGGGCTCTATGAAAATCAACGCACTAAATTAGCACCAGGGGCATATGAATAAGATAAGACAGCGCTAAGACCGCATTTGCAAGGAAACTGAGTGCGGATCTAGGACAATATGTTACTACGGTGCAACAACGTCTGCTTTATCATGCTTGGTATACCAAAACATATCCGTTGCTTTACTTTCCCAAAGTTTTGTTATACATCTTTCAAAAATTATCTGCAATTTTGTAGGCATTCCGATTCTTCTGATTTTTGTCGGAAAGCAAATGATCAGTAAATGCTGAGAATGATTGTAAGCTCGGAGTTGTGTTTGAAATCGTTCCATATGATTGCCGCGCTACGAATGTTACATTTCAGTAAGCTAACAAACATAGCGAAACCATGGGAATGATTGTGCGCTAGACAGTTACAGAGGTGTGACGTCGGTGCTGCCGTACGGCATCGCGAGCACTTTCATCAAGAATGCAGGTGAAGTACACGATAACGTAACAAATCGTGAGCAAGTTCTGTGCGACGAGTTGATATGGCCGTCACCCTCACTCCAACGTGCAAATGAACGGACGGTGACTAGAGAAATGAAGTAAGCACGAATGGACAGCATCTATTTTGATGAACAACCAGGTTATGAGACATGGATACGATGGTCAAGATCCAATTGGGATGGAATGCGACTCTTGAATTGGAAAATTCGAGCGACCGGAGCTTTGAAGAAGTAGAAGATGCAAGTCCATCCAATGAGTAGCCAATAGTTTACAAGCTAATGGCCTGAATATTTGCATTGCTAGTTAGCTAAATTCGAGCAACCCAAACAACACGTTACGCGCCCAAGCCCTGTAGACACTGTCGACTTCGCTTATTTATAAAATAAATACTGTTTTTGCCACCACCATGGACGCTTCGCCAAGCCGTATCGAAAAATTTGAGGGAATCATCATCCGCACATGTAAATTCGCGATGCAAACGGTATCGGAGGAGCGGGAACAATGGGAGATAGCGTGTTCGACCATTAAACGTTTAGTGTAAGGCCCAGAAGACGCTGAAATTCATCTATCTTGCAATTGAATGACTCGCAGATGCCGCTGGCTTACACGCATGATCGCGACTATAAGTTCATTTTGAAAAGAATTGCCTAGCGGATAAGCTCTGCCTTTGTCGTAGTTTATTCGCAGCCAAGATGCGTAAAGGTAAGGATATGGACATGTACATCAATAACATAAAATTTTTGGCGGATCAGCTCAATGTGGTGGGTGTCACAGTTTTTTGAGACTTGGAATTTCAGGGAGACGTTCACAAACCATAACAGTTTTGAAGTCAAGGTTGGACTTGTTGATGTGGATGCTCGTGACGAACTAATTGCTGAAACAAGACGTGAAACGCAAGAAGAAGGTGGCAGAATCGATGGTGTTGCGTACAAGCGTTTGCAACGACAGACTGCGGGCGAGCTAAGGGTCCTACTGCATCAGCGAACACGTCAAGGCCATGTTATAACTGTGGTGAGCTTGGACATCGTATCGCGAAATATCCAGCTAGCATTCGTGAAGCCATAGAGCGTCAGTGATCGCAGCGCGCAATTGCTGCTAGGAGTGAAGATTAGATGTGCCACCAAATCAGAGTGCGTATGACCGTGCTGGTTTTAGAGTCTAAGCTCTTTTCAAATATACTCTGCGTTGGACAATTACTAAAAGTGTGAGCTCAGTCGCCTTTGAGCGCAATAGTTGTTTTGCAGAAGCAAAAGGTTAACGCTGGAAGCTTGGTATGCGAGAAGGAAAGGGGTTGCCCAACCCCAATGGTGGCGGATGAAGCTAATGTGACAATTTCTATTGGGATGCTATGGGGACACCACCGCGCACCTTTCACGGATTCGTCCTGGTCACATAAAATATTTCGGACTTGATGTCACCGTGACAAAAAGCTGTGGCATTGGCATCAAACTTGCATCGGTAAAGACTTGGGAGCTTTACTACCACTGCTCGTTAGGCAAACGAAAACGTGCAACCTTTCTACGAACGTCGACACTTAGTGTGACAAAACTGTAGGAAGTCATTCAAAGTGATAAGTGCGGGCCAATACAGACAACGTTGAGCAACGTGCGATAATTTTGTTACTTTGAAGTTATCGACGAGTACATACAGTATAAAATGGTTTTTTGCTTCGAAACAAGGCAGAAGTACCAGCAAGTTTGCCACTTTCGTAAATATTACGTAAATACAAACAGGTAAAGTTTAAAATCTCTATGCTGTGCTAATGACGGTGAGTATACGTCAAACAATTGGGCCAAGTTCTGCCAGCAGTGTAAAATTGTACAAAAGTTCCCACCGCAATTACGCCCCAGAGGAACGAGAAGAACACGTGCAGGAAGCGAATCTTAGTGGAGTGTGCTTTCATCACGAATAGAATGACGATCACCGATGAACGCCAAATTTATCACATTAGGCGACATACGAAAAATAAATTCAGGTTGTGCAAAACGAGAAAGAGACAGATGTTTCCACACCAGAGTTCGACCTCGAGTCTTGTTCGTGAAATGCAGCTATCCTTTATGCTTAGGCCATATAAGAAAGCAGAGCAATAAGCAAATCTACACACTAAGAAAACGCCACACATGCTACAACAAGCGCGAATACATACAAACAACACAAACCAAACAATTACGCCATCATCCTAATCGGCATTGAGTATATCGTTGATCCATTCCTAAGTCATTTTTTAGATGTCGGGTAAAGAAAAAATGAGTTTGTAAAAACACGACAATAGACATAATGGTTTCACCTCTGAACTTAATTTTGAAGCTGTTGGGTGAACAGTTGCGCTTCTTTCGCAT